ATCTTCTTTATCAATATATATTTTAAATTTGAAAATTGTGTTTGTATTCATCCCCCCCTTCTACAAACTGTTTAGTATTCTTGTAGACCCTTTTGGGACCAACACATATCAAAAACACTAAACAACATAACCAATAGCCTTAATAAAAACAATTTAACCGAAATCTAAACTATAAGGTGACGACGTCGCACGAACATATGTTAGTTTGACAACAACAATCTAACACCGAAAAAGATAACAAAATCTAAGTAATTGAATTCTAACTAATCTATCAATTCTGGGCAATTACGTGAGTCGTGGCCACTACGTTGTCCACACGTTGCACATTTTCGTTTTGCTTTTTTGCTATTAGTTTGTATTTTCTTGGATACACTTACCAGCCTCTTGCCAGTGCTACAACCCTTGTTCCTTATTCCAGATGGTGGTAGAATGTCCACCTCATCAGGTATGGAAACACCTAGATGATCTCTAATCGCATCCAACTTTTGTTGGGATGGGTCTTCGTATGGAACTTCCTTCTCTATATCACCCATGAATTTGTCGAGGTTACGCCCCAATCTAGCCAATATAGATTTATCATTGCGGGCGATGCTTATTATGTCGTCGACCTTGGAATATACATCAATTATACACTTATCTTTCTCGGCATCAACCTTCCTATAACGAACTCTTGCAGATTGTATCTGTGCTGGAACTAATTGTTGTTTTCAACGACGTAAGACGTATTTTTCCGGAATGCATTCAACTTCGTCGTTTATCAGTACCTTGAACGCGTGACGACAAAGATACCCGTTACGCGTAAATAGGTTGCAATCGCATTCGACTGTGTTTGTTGAGTAATTACGGCACACTTGTCGTGTCAGAAGGGTACAAACAACAACAGTCAAGATAAAATTAAAAAAACATAGTAACCATTGTGTTGTGAGTTAGGGATATAATACCAGATACGTAATGTTGTCAGATGATTTCTTGGTCTTGTGGCTTATCACGAATGACTTGAAATCATCCCGACATTCGACGGTCTCAATAGCACAAAACCAAACAGCCTTCTTTATTTCCTTTTGGATGTCAAAAAACACGTTTCGACTGTATATATGCTTGATGCATGACTTTCTAAACGCAACGGAGTAACAAACTTTGGATTAGTGGTTCTCGTCACAGCTTCGTGAACATATTGTCTGTATCTTTGTTTCTCTATAGCTACGTCGTAATTATTAAGGAATTGAACCAAATCAAACCAGTACGATTCATATATGTTAATATACGAATTCAAACTCTCAGATCTTGAGGTTGTTTTCATTAGTCCAGACATCGGCGTGTCCTTATAATAGGCAGGAATCCATGAGTGTCGGATTTCATACATCTCTGTGAACCAAGTATCCCCACCTAGATTGTATTGATCTATCATCTCATGCCAACGACTCTCGAACTCCATTGGGCCAATATGTATGTTCCATACGAGCTTGTTGATAAATTTATTGAACATAGGATTGTGATTCAGGGCGACACTAACCTGTGTTTACAAGGCTTCAACAAATGAACGAATAACACGGAAATCTCATTTAAATACAATAGAATTCAAATATACTACTTACCTTTGAAGGCACCTTCTTCATAATGTGCCACATACATAGTCTATGCTTGGCTTCCATGAAAACCATCGGAATAGCCTGCTTCATTGCCGAACATTGGTCTGTAATCACGAACAATGGTTGCTTCTCATGACATTTTAGAAAAGCCTTTAGAACCCATGAAAAGTTATCAATTGTCTCGCTACTTATTAGAGCGGATCCCACAACAATGGACACCTTATGATTGTCAACAGCCAAGAAAGGAACGAAAATCATTGCATGCCTGAAAAAACATATCAAATATTATGCATATGTATTTGTAGCCACGTCATATGCCAAGAAAAATATCAAAACGTTATGAACTGCAAGAACTGTATTGCACTTGGGAATCTTACTTGTTAGTGCGAAAGGTCCCGTCAAATGATATGACATCACCGAAATCTTTGTAGTTAATTCTAGCAACTCCATCTGCCCAGAAAATTGCGCTCAACTCTTGTTCATTGCACTTGTATTCGAAAAAATAATCGGCGACAATATCCCATCTGTTTGATAGTTTATTGATCAACATCTTCGCGTCCTTATTCCCAACACAAGCAACAACATCCCTCTTAAAATTTTTGAAGTCAATTTCAAAAATTCGAGTATGCTCAAATCCCTCGTTCAATGCGGTTTGAATACGGTGAGCCCTTCTCGCACCAACTTTGTAACTCGAGCTATTTAGTACAGTTTTGAAGTCCGTATACTTCATCTGTCTATTCTTCCGAGAGAAATGACGATCATTAATATCGAACAATGCATGGTTATGTGCCTTAACAAACTCATATATCTTGTAACAAGCCCTATCCTCGTCAAATGTATTTTTATACATGCATTACAACCACACCGCTTGAGGTTCGTATTGCGGTATCTCCTCTCACCGGGATGCATCTCCAACGAATCAAAATCCTTTTTTTGGGGTTTCCCTCCCTGTTGCAGACAAACCACCTAGTTTGAATGTCGTCGTGCTTATTCGTTTTTTTGCATGAATACAAACATCAAAGTCGGCATTGTCTGCGTAAACCCTGTACATCTTTTCAACCTCATTTATAGATGCATATTGTGCATTGGCCTTTGGCTTAAGCGCGTCATCAACCTTTGGGATAAAAAACTTTTATTCCTTCTGAACTCTCGCCTATATCATAATGAATTTCTTGTTGTGAAGAAGTTATATTATCAAGACCTTATGTAAACAAGTAATTAGTCTTTGAGATTAAAGTTAGTACAACATGAATGGAGTGTTAAAGGGCAACAACCAGGGGGGTATAGTGAACTCACAACAACATGAAATATATATCTTATTTGCTATGTCGAACATATGAAATACTAATTAAAAACACCATTAACCTACAAATAGACCATTTAGCTATGTATCTACAGCGCGTTGATATCAACGTTTCCACGTCCAGCAACGTAAGAAACAACATCTTATTGCTTAAATATCACATAACACTCGAAAAGTTAGTATATGTTAAATGAAGTGGTTGTCAATTAACACAACAAAGTGCAAATGCATGACCCTACACATTATATAATGATCTAACCACTTGTATATTAAGGAGCAAACTATGGTGGGATATGCAACTAGATATCATTTGATGTCATGTAATGAACGGCTGTCGTATTGAGTTAAGTGACATGTTAACACAATGAACAACACCCGTAAATTCATAATTTTTAATCGTGTGAAGATGTGAGCACGTATGCACACGCGACATCAAATGAAGTTTGTGCACATGTACGTAGTTTCACACGTATTAGCCGCTTCTATTTGTGTGCGTATATGACAGTTCTCTTCTAGTTTGCGTAAAAAATTGTGTGCAGCTGACCATTTGAATAAGTGATTTATCATTACATTATCTTAAAATGATGTAGGCAGTTAAAACACCTGGAAATTGATGTAACACAAAGGAATCAGCTAATATTGCAGCTGTGATGGACAGTGGACGTAGTCACTTAAGATAGTGTACTCCATTTCACTGTTGCCGGACAAATATTCACTGTGATGGACAGCTGTTCACATGAATCATAGAGCCTGATCACGTGTTCATGTGAACGGTTATGCATATGTATTGATATGAACAACGACATGACATACTACCCAAAAATCTTGTTCATATTCATGTGATGTAGTTATGCATATGTATCGGTATGAACATATTTTGCCTTCGCTATGTGTTCATATGTTGTGTGTGTCCTTAAGTCTTATTATCTCTTGACATGTGATGTAATTGTTCATGTGTGTCAATATGAAAATCTAATGCATTTCATACAGCTGAACAGTAATGAATCATAACATCTATGTCTATTTGATTTGTGCAGTTTCATATGTGTTAATGTGTGTCCATATCTCTTATAATCTGTTCATATCTGTATCTCTATCAACTAAATTAATCGCTAAACATATATAGTACCAGAATATGCATCAGATTTTTCAACGAATTCAACTATATTTGCAATAATATTTAATAGTTTACAATGGTAATATCTGTTCATTTAAACAAAATAAATGTCATACTAATCACTTACCAATCGACACGCTTTGATCATCTTCTTCATCATCGGAATTCGAATTCCGACCGTAGTTATATCCGATTTTAACTTTGTCATTTCCATTGTTATCAATATGATTTACAATAGTATTATCCATATTACTCAGACGATACATAAATCTTTTACACTTACAAAACGAATATCATTATATGTAAAACATCACTTGAAATCACGATCATGAACACGAAGGAAGATAAAAATCAGAATTAACTAAAGATCAATTAGAGGGATCTTTAAGATTTTTAACTCCCAATTAATTATTAAGGAGTTACATAAAGGTCAAATTACATAATCACCCTTGTATTTAATTTATAGGTTACATTTGAACATAAAGTAAAAAAAGAATATGATTGGTTAGTTTTGGTTAATATAGTTAACACAAATTTCTTGGTTAGTATTTGAACCAACCCCCCTCTCTCTCTTTCTCTTTCTCTCTCTCTCTCTCTCTATATATATATATATATATATTTGACCTAACCAAATCGGATTTTGAATGCCTTCAACCTAACAAAAATAAGATTCATCATAAATTAAACCAAATCAAATGCGTATGGATTTAACTTAACCAAGCAGATTCATCGTGATTTTAGCCTAAGCAAACACATTTTTCAACCATAGATTGGACATACCTTTGCAACATGTTGGATTTTGCAGTTTTGTTTGAACACCCACAAATGCATCGACTTCTTCTTCCCCATTCATGTATTCTGGTAAATATTGGTGTCTAAAACTGCAGGAGCATCAATTATATCTACAAAATTGTTGAATGATATATACTTTGCAATCCTCTCACCCTTAGGGGTTGTTCGGTTCATTTTCTATTAAGACCTATATGGATAAAGCTGTCTGTATTGATAAAGTTATCTGTATGATAACATATAAGTTATTGTTCGGTTATTGTATTGAATAAACAGTCTGAATGTCAGAAATTACAATTTTATCTCTTGTCTATATTTTTAACAGTTTGGATAGGTTAAAAATTTCAAGTGAAACAATTAAAATGCCATATCTTGCACAAAAATTCATCCACAGATTAGAACTAAAACCATATACACAAACATTTCATCAAACACCTTATATGCATAAAAATTTCATCCATAATCCTGTTGTTCTTACATAAACAGAATACCAAATGTGTAGAATCATGGAACAAGAATTCGAAAGCTTCAACTTTATATCTGATAACGACATTTACATCGAAGATCTAAAGCTTCACCTTTATATCTGATTATCTAAAGTTTCGACTAAACTTGGAGATCTAAAGCGAGATGAGAAGAAGGTCGAGGAAACCCAACAATCGAAACCTGATTTTGATGTTGATTTCAACCAAAATCGAGATTCAAGTGATAGCCACTAAGAAGGAAAAAAGAAACCTAATTTCTGCGGTAGATGGAAAATCAAGATTCAAGTGATCATCACTGAGAAGGAGGAGTCGACACCGTGGAGAAGGCACCCGAGGGCCAGCAATGGTGGATGGTTTCCAGGGAGAGCCCTTGGAGAGGAGTGGATGTGTAGAAGGAATGGCGATGAAGATGGCTCTGCACAGGGATGTTGACCAAGCAGAAGGAACGGGGAGGATTGAACTAGAATGTAAAGCTCGTGATGGGGATTCTCTTATGTTTGGTGTCTTGCAAGATGGAGAAGGAAGAGGGATGGGGATGAAAGATGAAAAGGATACAAGGGGATAAATGGATTAATAGATAGCCCATTACAAAGAACATAACTATTCAGCTGACTGGTTTAGCCATGGGCTGAACGAACAAGCCAATACCGAACAACTGGATATGGTTGTGCGAATAAACCATACCCATTATACAACACATTAAGCTCCTACCGAACAGCCCATAAGAATCTAACGATGGTGATGATTTAGAATTTGATGATTACATAAAACCATACCTCTTCCAATGATTTTTTTTTTCAAAATGATTATCACTAAGCTTGATTTTTGGTCGATGATTTGAGTCCCTCTAAGATCAGGATAGATGGATATGGAAATTAGAATCCTTTCATATGTAATTTCAACTCGTGTTTTCAAAGTTAATTCATGAATTATAATTTTATCCTCCTCAGGTTCAAATCCCTTTGTGAGAGGGTCAAAGGATTTAGTCATATTCACAAAATTACAATTGAATTTAACGCCTTTGATTTACAAAAAATGTAGGGTGTAGATTGATCCTTGTGTTTGCAAAATAGCTTAGGAACCCACCTCTATATATGCATAACAACAAAACGAAAAAATGCATTAAAAAGTAAACATGCTTTCCTTTAATTCATAGTGAAAAGAAGATACTCTCAAGAACAATTAAATATACAAAAATATTTTGCATACATCTCATGAATTGAAGGGCTCAAAGCTCTGGATAAGATATCGATTGAAGATTGGGTTACGGTGATAAAAAGAGTTAAAGAAGTATAAAAAAAGATCTCCACTCGTGGATGCACTTTAGGATGAGATACACCAGATCAATCCCTATATCAAGCGTGATTTATGGATGAGTTTGAGGTTAAAGGTGATCAAGGGTCCAAATCGCTTTTTACGCTTCTCACTTTAACCCTCCATTCTTACACGATTATTCGCCATCGATTGAATTATTAACAATCGTTAAATAAGATATTGATTGAGATAAAGTATTTCTCCTAGATCTGATACTGAAAAAAGAAGAAAAAAACCATTCATTCAATACAAAATTATTAAAGAAATTCAAAAGGACAAAATAGTCGATAATGATGAGGTATATATGTTGGAACCAATGGTCCTCGGGGCCCACTAAGGACCAAAAGACTGCATAAACTAAGACAATCAACAAACATCTCTAATCTATCCAAACGAAACAAGAATGGCCAAAGCCCAAAAGTGACAATGCCTCTAGTCGATCTACCATTTCAACTTTTGCCTACCCGTCCAATCAAAGATTGTCGGGAGTCTTCTCTTTTTCCTTTTCATGCATAGAGAGGCGGATTTAGAATTTCTTTTTGAAATATATGAGAAAGTGAATATCATAATATATTGATATTTTATGGAGTTTTTATTTCATATTTTTTATATAAATCCTTAAAGTTTTAATGTTTCTCGTTTCACTATAAAAATATTTAAAGAACTAAAAGTAATTACATTTAGCTAGAAATTTTTTATGATTTAACATGCAATATACCCTTAAAATAGATCTCATATAAAGTTGCTACAAAAGAACTACAGGGCCTTTGACCTAGTGATATCGTAGTCTATAGTTTCCAAAGATGTCAGGGGTTCAAACCTCACCAAAGATGAGGATGATGTATGAGTTTATTTATAAAAAAAAAAAAAAAATTGCTTTTAGGTTTAGGGGGCACATGCCCCATTTGGAACTGATTTAAATTTATCTTTTTGAAACTCAATCTCGCATTTACCCCAACCTTTTTTATTGCTGCCCCAACCTTTTTTCATGCGTCCATTCTTTGCCATTGTTTTTTTGTATCACAATTCTCTGCAATTTTAGTGGTTTTCTAAATGCTTTCAATATTTAAGCCTCGCTTTTCTTTTGGAATGCTTGTTGATTTTGTCAGTTTATGTGTTCGTTCCTGTTAATGGGGTTTTACTAAGGATTTCCAATAAACATAAAACCGTTTAACCCGAACCTCAATAAGGGGCCGTTTACATAATTCTTACTCGTTAGCAAGCGCTTACCAAGTCACGTTCCTTACTGGATGAGTATGACAAGGACCAATGATCTTATCTGGTAAGAGCAAAGGCAAGGACCGAGAGTCTTACCCGGTAAGTGATGGTGACAACTCTTACCACGATTAGCACTTACCGGGTAAATTGTTACATATGTTGTTGTTTTGCTAGACTAAAATCTTACCTGGTAAGTAAGCGAGGGAGTTGAATTTTACCGTTAAGCGTTTACCGGGTAAGTATTTAGGTAAACGTCCCCTAAGTTCCAATGAGTCATTCGTATTTGGATTTCTTTAATAACCCTAGGAGTTCTCCTGATCATCCGACTTCCTACCTTTTTTTTTCAGAATAAAACTATACTTTTATCTAGCATATATAGATCTAAAAGATGGCCTTCCAAGCATAAGATTCCTCTTGAGTGCTCCATGGAATCCAATTCTTTCAACTTTTTGCCAACATGATAGTGACCAGAAACCAATTTCCTGCTGCATCTCTTTAAAATAGGTTGCCAAATAGTGGTTTACTAATTAAAAATCAACATGGGGTCTGGATCATCACAAGAAGCAGATACACAACATGGTGAACCAGAGACTCATCATAATGCAAAAAACACAGTTAAAACTACAAACACACACTTGAACAACAGCTTACCTCATGATTGTGATGCCATTCTAAAGGATGCGGATACCGTCATTGATAAGTCCTCAAAYGACCAACTYTATGCRGGTGTGTTCTTGAACAAAAAGAGAAWGGTACGCCTTGTTTCCAATTGACTARTTGAGCTTTTCTAATAACTGGCGTTRGTTTTTCCTGTTTTTAYTGTATGATCGTTAAGTTTTTCTTCCTGGTCTAGTAGTTTTAGTTTTACTGCTTTAAGTTTCCTAGTTGGGTTTATCTTATGTCCGTCTCATCATGTGTCCCTACTCCCCTTTTTGTTTGTTGTATATGTTGCTAGCTTGCATATAGTTTCTACTACTTGTATCTTTGTAATTTTTGTTTTGTAAAGCGGGGAGATCTTCATGGAAACAACCTATTTACCCTTTATGGTGAAGGCAAAGACACGTACATCCTACCCCCTCCCCCGCACTCTACTTTTGTGTGAGATATACTGGGTTCGTTTGGTTTGACAATTAAGAAATATCTGAACGATGATTCAGACTTAATATTCAAACCTGGGAGCCGCACTCAAAAGAAAGTACAAAAGATTAGAATTTAGAAATATAAATCAAAATTGTGTCTTCTTTCAAATGCATGCCTATGCTTATTTTGACTCAAAACAAAAAAGTAATGCCTAAAGTACAAGGATTAATTTGTAATTACTTTCATCGCCCCCAATATGCCAATATTGGCACTGATGGTACGGAAATGTAACTCACTGTTTAAACAGAGTTGTCGGGCTTGATTACTTGTACGCTCCTTGGGAGGTACCAAATAAATGACTACTTGAATCGGGATTTCGAGCATAACTATGCCACTGACCCTATAAAAAGTCGGCCTAACCCTCGGAGATATGGTATAAATGGCGTTTTGCCTTCATTTTTGTATGTATTATAGAAGTAATGAGATATAATAAGAATCCTAACTACAATTTGTGTAAGTATATTGCTAAATCATGTAAATATTATCCAAGCCTTATATATGAGCAGTTATTAACCTTACCTGAAGTATGTTAAATATGCGTTCTTTTTACGGTTCAAGCAGAAGTATTGGGTAGACAAGACATCGTATGGCAATTGCTTCTTGGTGTTTGCACGGGACCTCTCGATCACGTGGGCTGAAGACGAACGTTATTGGCATTGGCCCTGCGTTAAAGAAACAAGGTGATAATAATCATACGCAAAGAAGATCTGCAAATCCATGGTGGTGGTGTAATGTTCAGCAGTATACAATTGTATAATGGGGCGTACAAGGGCATAATGGTAAAATCACATGGTGCAACTATTTCAAAAATTAGTAGACTTTCTGGTTAGTATGTAATATTCATTGTGCTGTCATCAAATAATACAATGACTACTTTTATACAAACCAGAAAGTCTAACTTTCAGTTACATAGTTACAAGTGATTTTACCATTCTGCCCTTATTCGCCCCTTGTACAAATGTTACTACTCAACAATAAAAGCACCAAGAAGCCATGACAACTACTTGACATACAAACTGCATTTTACTGCCTTCTTTTGGCAAACTCCCTCCATTCTTTGTTTGTCCCAATATAAGTGTCCACTTTCAAAAGTAAACGTCTAATTTCCAATTCTACCCTTAATTATATGATAGAGAAATCAATTAGTTCCTCTCAGTTATTAAGGGTAAAATTGTCTTTCAGTCAATTAAAAAGTGTAATAATTACACATTTCTAAAACTGTCCCTTTCTTTATTATGGACATTTATTTTGGTATGGAGGGAGTATTATTTTCTAATAATAATTTCACTACGGTTCCAATTATGAACGAATTAGTCTTTATGTTTCTTTAACAACGATACTACCATTATCGTTATGACTATCAAATTTGAAAGAATTGTTCACGGCGAAACACGTCACGTCACACATGAATCATTTGGCAAACACTACAGTGGATTCCGTTTTTAACTCCCATGTGTTCCTCACATAATGTTTTGGTGGGAAGAAGAAAACCAATTATGTGTTAGGCTCGTAACACATGAGAGTTAAACACATTCTAGTGCCAGGTTAACAAAGTGATACGATGGCATGTGTGCATCAGATCACAATTTCATCCTATCAGATTGTGGAGGGACTCATATCTAGTTTCTCAAAATGTAGCATATTTGTCTTTCGCTTTCTCTCTCTATTCCTATCTGTATTGCTATTGCTTACAGCCTTACACATATCATATTTTCAATGTTTAGCATATCTGTTCTCCTCCATTTCTTAAAGGAAACAACCACTCTACTACATAGGGTAGAAGTCAGGTCTGCATACATCTTTACCCTCCTCGCCTCCACCCAAAAAACAGAAATACCCCACCTCCAGGTGGGATTAAATGGGCTCGTTGGTTCTGTTTTAGATTGTGGAGGGACATCATAGTGTCTGACTGTTAAAATTTACAAAAAAGAAAAAAAAAACAGCGACTTAAATATGGGTTTTCCCTGGTTTTTGCAGTGAAGTGTCTGTGGATGTTGCAGAAATGCTAAATGTTTGCTGGTTGGAAGTCCATGGGAAGTTTGACATGGCCAAGCTAACACCAGGAATGAAGTATGAGGTTGTGTTTCTGGTGATGTTAAAACATCCGGCTTATGGTTGGGAAGTTCCGATCAATATCAGACTCGTTCTACCAGATGGAAATAAACAAGAACGCAAAGAAAGTTTGATGGAAAAGCCAAGATCAAACTGGTTTGAAATCATGGTGGGGGAATTTATGGTGGAAGCAAAGAAGGGAGGATGTGTGGAATTCTCGTTGTATGAATACGAAGGTGGGGCTTGGAAGAGAGGTCTACTTGTCAAAGGTGCAAGCATTAGACCAAAATATTGAAAGTTGAGAAAAACCCGACTCCTATTAATATGTAAGCTTTTAAATTAGAGTTGTGTTTGAGAATAAAACCACTTACCAATGATATCGGTGCTTCGTAATAAGCCCATGGCTATGAAATCTTCTATGTTGTTTTCCGCTTTCCAAATCTTCAGACAGAGCTCACACCTGCAGCATAGTTATCCCCACAAGCTTACTCAGGAGAATAACTTTCTGACAGATTTTCTTTTTGTAAATTCATGATCTTCCAACAGATTTAAGAACGTCCCTGCCTAACAGAATAATGCCTTAAAATATGTCAGAAGGTTATGCCTTTAAAAAAATCTGTCAGAAAGTTATTCTCCTAAAGAACCTTCTATCCGCACCATACATGCTTACCTCTCCCAGTCCTAGGTGGCACCAAGACATGGACAAACAATATAACATGATAATCAACTGCTGGTAAGATGATAAGATGTATGCATACCAACTTTCAGACAAAAAGAAAACTATTATGATGTATGCTTATTGACATATATAGTATACATAGGAGAACAAATAAAAGTACAAAATACAATTCACATAAAGTTTAAGTAACGGTTATCGAGCGATAAACCTTAATTCTGTAGTCTAGAAAGAGAGCGAAATAAAATGAGCTAATAACAACATCAATAAGTTGTGTCAATTATAATTCTGTGTTATAATCATCTGGCTTGTACCATAAAGAGAAATCGATTCCCTTGCCTTTTAGTTCCTCTGTTGCAATACCAATTTTCTCTAGAAGCTGCATTTGAGAAGCAACAAGATTAGCACTCAGATTGACAACATCTATCTTACCTCTTTTTTTT